AGAGAGAGAGAGAGAGAGAGAGAGAGAGAGAGAGAGAGAGAGAGAGAAAGAGAGAAAGAGAGAGAGAGAACAACTGGCAATAGCTGACCTTTTGAAACCTCCGAGCCTGCTTGCTTTGTATGACACTACTTCTCCAACAAGGTCACATTTCACACTTCCTAATCCTTCTGGATAGTTCCACCAATTGTGCACCAAGCACTCAAATACAGGAGCCCGTGGGAGCCGTTCTCATTAAACCACCACATTGTGTTAACGTTATTTTTGCAGTTTTGGTAGGACTTCTTTTTTTTTTTTTAATGCAAGAACCACTCACAGACAAGGGGAGCGCGTTCTCTGCTAATTTAGACCGGTGGATGTGGGCTTAGAATGTGAACATTTATGAGGCAAAACTCAAGAAAGACAACATGCAGAAGGCTATATTGTTATTCTTGTGCTCAAATTCCCATGGGATAAATATGGAAGGAACACATTTGAGTGGAAGGTAAATTTATTCATGGCATTTTCTCTTGGAACATGGGAACGATTAAAAACAGTCTACAAGAAAGCTATTCAGTAGGAACTAGTGGTAAGTTGTATTCAAGTCTTTTAAAAATACATCCTTTAAGGAGACATGAAAGTTGAGTGGCAAGCATGTCTGTTATTTGGAGAACCTGCGATGGAGCAACAGTAAGTGGAACAAATGGGAGGAGACAGCAAGAGATGCAGAAGAAAGAGCACTGGTGGCTAACAAGGGCATGGGAACGAGAGTGCCTTCCTGTAGTTGGGCAAACATGGGAAAGCTGTCAGAGGGATGCTTTTGGGTGTCCAATGTTTGCAAATCAGAGCATGTGAGATCAAGTCTTCACTGAGTGTCCTTCAGTGCAAAATAGCAAGCAAAAGATACCTTTGACCTCACAGTGCAAGACAAAGACCAGAAAATTGAGAGTTGCTTTCCATAATCTCACTGTGGAACCATGCCTCAGACTCAGAGGTGCACCCTTGGTTGGAAAGAATTATAACCTTGATGGAGGCAAACTCAGGCAAGGCCTCGCTCAAGGCTAGGGGCTGGTCTCTAGCATGCTATGCAAACGTGGTGCCACATTTGATGCATGTTCGAGCAGCAGTGGTTTGAAAGTAAATGGCCCCCAAAGGGAGTGGCACTATTGGGAGGGGTGGCCTTGTTGGAGTAGGTGTGGCCTTTCTGAAGGAAGTGTGTCACTGTGGAGGAGGGCTTTCAGGTCTCACAGATGCTCAAGTCACACCCAGTGAGTCAGACCACTTCCTGTTGCCTGTGGATCCAGATGTAGAACTCTTAAACTCCTGCCCACTGCCATGCTTCCTGCCATGATGAGAATGGACTGAACTTCTGTACTGTAAGTGAACCACCAGAATGAAATGATTTCCTTTATAGCTGTTGCCATGGTCATGTGTCTCTTCACAGCAATAGAAACCCTAACTAAGACAGGAACCAAAGTTACTGGCATTTCTAAGGGATCCACCAATATCTGAATGTCCTTTACTGAGTGGCACTTGAGAAGGACCAGACTGCCAGCGACCTGGTTTCTCTTTTACCCTTGCTCTGTATAGAAGTTTCCCACCAGATGAGGGGGAGAAAGGATTCTAGGAACCAGAGGGGTTGAGGAACATGACTCACAAAATCTACTAAGCAGAGCATATAGGAGCTCACAGAGACTGAAGTGACAATCATGCAGTCTGTATGGCTCTGAGCTAGGTCCTTTGCATATATATTATGTTATATAGCTTGGTGTTCTTGTGGGGCACCTAATAGTGGGAGTGGGGGTATCTCTGACACTTTTATTTGTGCTTGGGACCCTTTTCCTCCTACTGGCTTGCCTCATCCAGTCTTGATATGAAAGTTGTCCCTAGCCTTATTGTAATTTGTTATTATGTGTTCAGTTGATATCCTTGGGAACCCTCCCCTTTTCTTCCTTCCTTCCTTCTCTTCTCCCTCCCCCCTCTCTCTTTTAAAGGAAATGGAGAAGTGGATCTGGGGGAAAGGGGAGGTGGGTGGACAGGGAGGAGTGGAGGTAGGACAGCCTCCCCCAAAAAACACCCTAAAAAACAAACAAACAAACAAATCCCCAAACCAAACCAAAACAGGTAGGCTTTGTCTGACCATTTTATTCTGATGCTAGTTACAAATGGCTCACTTTATTGTGCAAATCTGAAACATTTTACTGCATTCTCTATTTTTATCAACTTTGTTTTTTTATCTATTTTATCAACTTGGTTTGGAAAATTATTTGTAATAAATATTGTGTCCTATGCCTAAAGAAAAACTTATAACTTTTTAAAAAATCAGTGTAGAATTAGGTTGTTCTTAAATGTGTAGTCAAATGTTAAACAAATGCTAAATCAAACAGCTATGGCTCACTTCCCAAGTGCTGGGTAACTTATGCTTGTCCCTGGTTATATGGCCCATGGCCATATTTTGCAGAAGAGAAACTTAAGGTTCCAGTAGGATGAGTGGCCCAACCCATCCAGGGGGCATCCTTTCTTAATAGTCTGTTAGATTGCTTCCAGATATTAAAATAGCAACAGAGAGACTCAAATCAGCCTGTCTACTGTTAGTCTCTGTGTGTGATTTTTTTTTTTCAGTTTGGTTCTGCTAGACAGAAATGCCAGAACAAAGTTTTGGTGTTGTGACGCCATCCTGAATGATGCCAGAGGGTGAATAATCTTGTTAGCAGAGTATCTGGGCCAAGACTTTGGTGGAGGGCTTTTCAGAAGAAGCATGGCGGCTGGATGCTGTAATGAGGCCATGGAAGGTTACAGCCCCGCAAAGAGCTGTCTGGCAAGTCCTGGAGCAAGGTCAGTGACAGGGCATGGTGGCTCTTGGGAGCTCCGCATGTTCCTAACAGTTGGGAGGCAGTAGGCAGCTGTGACTCTTAGGAATGACACGATGCATCCCCCAACTCCAAACCTTCACAGGCAACCACTGTGCAGGCTCCAGCGGTGACTTCTATTATTCCCAGTGCCGTGTCCCAGTGGAAAGTGGCTGGACTCGGTGTCAGGAAGTCTTAATGGGCTGTGAAGCCACAGGTATCAGAATGTCATCGGGTGGAATGAAGCAGTGATCGAGGACTGAGGTGGGGGAATCAACAAAAGCGAAGACAAACAGAATGCATTAGTTACTCTCCTTGTTGCTAGGACAAAATGCTAGACAGAAGCAGATTAAGGGAGAAAGGGCTTATTTTAGATTGTGGTTTCAGAGAAATACCAGTCCATCATGGTAGGGAAGGCGTGGCCAGAGGGACAGGTGGTAGGGAAGGTGTGGCCAGAGGAACAGGAGAAAAACTTTTCTCTGGAGGATTAGGAAGCAGAGGTAGTAGAGTCTACAGAAGCCTCACCCTAGGGGCCTGCTTGCATCAGCCTGGTCTCACTACCTAAAGGTGCCTCTGTGCGGGGAGCAAGTGCTTAAAATGAGGGCCGAAAGCAACCCCACTGTATGGGGGGAATAAACACTCAAAACAGAGACCCAAACCAGTCCCATTTGGAGGGGAATAAACACTTAAAACATGGATCTGTGGTGGGAGGCCTTCCGGATTCAAACCTGTGAACCGGGAGAGCATCTCTCCCAGGTGTGTGCGAGTCTTTAGCTTCTTGCCAACTCTGCAGAAATGCTGGATTAGTTACCTCTCTCATTGCTGTGGCCAAAATACTCAGCAGAAAGCAGCTTCAGAACAGGGCCTTGCTGTGTAGGTCACTGTCCATCACTGCGGGGAAGGCATGGTGGCTGCAGTGTGAGGGGACTGGCCACATCACATCCTTGGGGAGCAGAGAGATGGATGCTTGTGTTCAGCTCTCTCTCCCTTTTTATTCACTCCGGACCCCAGCCTGTGATGGTGTGGCTCTTATCCAGGCTTTTATTTCTAGAAACATCCTCATCCAGACACCCAGAGATGTGTTTCCATGGTGATCCTGAAAACCAACCAAACTGACAAAGGAGATTAACCTTGGTGGCAAACCTAAGTGTGCCTTTCCTCACCTCTTACCATTTTCAGTTCCTGAATATACTCAGAAGGCCCCGAGATATTTGCAGCCACTGTTTGCAGACGCCAGGGAACATTTATGGCACTAAACATTTGTATGCATTTGCATCTAGATGGAATTGGTGTGAAGCACAGCACCCGCTATATTTCAGGGGTAGGGAAAGCCTGAGACAAGATCTCAGCATGTTGTGCCATGGTAAGTCCACCAGAGAACATACACAGACAGTCTTCGAGCAGATAGAAAGTCTGTATTACTGGTTGGCAACTGCAAGGGGCGCTTGTTCAAATCATGCGG